GGCAGGTATTTTAGGTATTGTTTTGACTTCAAACACTAGTGAAAATATGCATCAATCCATTAGGAACATGAACTGGAGCAGTATCTAACAATTCCCTTTAGAAGCCTCAAACTTCAGGAGCCAACCTTGATTTTTAGATCTAAGTATGCATTACATTCTCATTTCTGCACATGCATATATACATACAAACTCAGTATCATCCTCTTACAACAACCCACTACAAGGGAGCATCCTACACCCTTTAAAGGTTAAACTTTTGTGCGAGTGACCTTCTTTTCCCATCTCAATTACATGGAATTTGCTGTCTTTCTGACAAGGGGGTTTAAAATTTAGTTACCGCAGAATAAAAGTTGTAGAAGCCTATTCAATAATCTTAGCTCAGAGTCAAGCCTGAGAAACCCTGAGCTTATAACAATAATGAACTGTTCTAAACCATATGACATTTCCGTAACAGAAAGACCTCCGGACCAGATTCTCAGTTCTGTTTCTAGCTCCTCTGGACTCAAGGCTGCTGGAGAGCCCCTTTCCACATGGGAAATCCCTATGTGGCTTCCTTCAAGCTCTAGTTGTGCAACTGAGCTGCTGAAGCAACCTCTCTCTCTTTTCCCTGTTCCCCATGCTCATTTTCCACCAGATCACTCTCCCAGTTCAGCGGGCAGTCACACACATGGTTGCACCAGCATGGTGCAAGGGGCAGCGTAAGAGCCAGTACAGAGGGATGGCTGCTTGTTCTGCGAAGGTTGCTGGAGCCACAGTCGCAGCCTCGCCAGGCTTGTGGCAGAACCCAAGGACATTTAGCCACCATCCTCCAATGCTTTGAATAATTGCCAAGGAAATAAAAAATACTAGGAGTCATCTCACTCAGTTGAAAGTAACGACACTTGATTCTGTACAGATCTGTGCCCTGTGCCCCTCACTCCCCAGAATAGCTCCTGCTCTTATCCACATTCATAATGGCTCCTTTGTTTCTCATCCCACCCCACCAAGTCCACTCATGCCCTTTCTTCTCCTCTATCCTCCAGCCAAATCTTTCATGTTCCTTATATGTGTCCTGACTACCATCAGGCAAAATGCCATACAGCTGACCATCCCAAAGACCAAACAACTGTTAATTGTTGAGCCCCTGCTTCAGTAACTTTTTTCTTCTAGGGCTCTGGTTCTACGTGCGTTTCCCCAGTGGCAATGCCAACCCGAGCTGCAAACTCCCCAGCTGCTCAGCCACATCTGCATGCAACATGGCTACAAGCATTTGTGCAGCACGTGGTGAACTGGAGCAGAGACCTGCTCCAGCTAAAGAGGAAAAACCCTGAACAGCCTCCTAACCCTGCCTGCCGCATGGCTGGAACAGAATATACAGCCAAAGAGTCACGACAGCATTAACTTGAGTCTCCCTTCCATAATTCACAGAGACACTCATCTTCTAGGATTTTTCCTACAATGCCAAATTTAGTTGAAGTTGGCCAATATTATCATTTAAGCCTTGATTTTTTTTAGCAGCTGGGACTACCTGGTCCTTGGCTGATAACACTAACAGGAAGGTGAACTTTTAGCTTTTTATGTAATTTTATTTAAAGTTTTAACTCAATTTTCTAAGAATCTCCCTTCCTAAAGGGAGATACACCAAAACAGTCCATTGGATGAACAAGTCCATAACCTGCCAACCAGCTCCAAGGCAGACATCCTTACTTCTCACAGAAGTTACTTTATTTGTACTACATGTACAAAACCTACTTCTCCACCTTGACTTACAGCTGTAACTGGCACTACAGGAGACAGAAGTTTTCACTCTATTGTTTCCTCCAGTTTTTGTGCAAAACATTCTCGGAAGCAGCCTCATGGGAAAGAATAAAAGACACTGATGAATGCTCTGGCATTTATCAGAAGATGATGGAAGGCAAAAATAGTGAAAAGAACCAAACAGTGGCATGACAAGCACATAGAGAAGAGGGATGAGGAACTCTTAAAGAAAGTTAAGGCAGCGGGCCGGTGGGGATGAAGGGGAACAAGAGAGAGATGGAATTAGAAGTCATTACCATGAGGACTGGCAAGGAAGGAAACACCAAACCAAAAAAACCAGCTACACATCTACCCTGTGAACCTGAAATGAGCATTTCTCCTGCTATCCACCCTTCGGTCACAAAACATATATTCCTTAATAACCCCAAACGGCATACATTTAAGTTAAACCAGGCTGTTGGCATGCATCGACAGCGTGTGTTTGGGGCTCAGGCCCTGGGAGGAGGGAAGGGAGCAGCAGGGCAGGCTGCAGGCACCTGCGGTGAGGGCAGCTCCCCCAGGAGCTCCTTCGGTACCCGCTTCCCCGATTTTGTAACCTCCCGGTACACGAGCCCAGAGCCTCCGAGGAAGGAAACCGGCACCTGCCACCCTAACGCCAGCAGGCTTCGGGGATCCCTCCCGCCTCCCGTTCCAGGCCAGGGCCCCAACTAGGCCCGGGGGAAGGACGGCCGGGCCGCGGGCGCCAAATCTCCCGCCTTCCCTCAGCGGAGGC